AGGTGAGGGTCTGAGGGAGGAGGCCAGGGCCTGAGGGAGCAGGTGAGGGTCTGAGGCAGGAGGTGAAGGTCTGAGGGAAGAGGTGAGGGTCTGAGGGAGGAGGCCAGGGCCTGAGGGAGGAGGCCAGGGCCTGAGGGAGAGGAGGCCTCAATCTGAGAAAGTGTCAAGGGAAATGGGCTTAAGGATTAGGCCAATGAAAAGAGATCTGATCCTGGAGACCAGCTCTCAGGAAGGACTTGGGTTTGAGGAGATGTGAAGAGTGAAGGCATAGCCTGTGGAAAGACAGACCGGATAGAAAGAAGAAAGCTTAAGGGGATGTGGGAAGAGGAAGGACGCCCTCCCTCTGCAGGATCTGCCCCCCTCTGCAGGACCCCTTCCTCTGGAGTCTGAGGACGTCTTGTCAGGTGAAGCTCAAGTAGAATAAGGCTGTAAAGTTGCCAGTGCAGTGTTACAAGAGCTCCATTAAGACTCAGATAATCTGGATTGTTTTACAGATGTAGACGTGAGTTTTCCTGGGAAATCCTCATGACACACTACTTCCAGAAGGTCCAAGGGAGGAACTCTATTCCCTGGAAGCTGGAAATGGTGAGTTTGTGGTCTGGCTTCCACATCCAGGGGTGGGAAATCTATAGCTCATATAATTGGGCTAATCTAGGTCCCCATTATCTGTGCAACATGATTGTTTTGTTGAAGGGTTGCTCATTCTGTCCCATTGGTGGCTGTGACCCTTAGTGCTGCCGCCCTGCTGAGTTGGTAACTGTGGTCCTGTAGTTTGATGACAGTTATTACAAGGTTGTTTTTTTGTTGGTGGTGCTTTTGAGACAGGCCTCACTATGTGGCCCTAGGTAGCCTGGAGCTTGCTCTGTGGGGCAGGTTGGGCTTAAACCCTCAGAGAGTCACCTGAGTGCTGGGGTTAAAAGCATGCCTAGTTCAAGTGTGCTTTTCTTAATCAAATTATGTTGACAGGTTGGGGCCTTCAGTGCATGTTTAGAACACTGTCTAGGACAGGAGTTTTATGATGATTATCTTCTGTTTTAAGATGAGTATTGAATCTTTAAATCTCTGAGCAATATAGATTTCTAGATTTAATTTTTACAATCTGTGAACATGAAATATGAGATGTCTCTCTCTCTCTCTCTGTCTTTCTCTCCCTCTCTCCCTCTCTGTCTCTGTCTCTCTGTCTTTCTCTCCCTCTCTGTCTCTCTGTCTCTCTCTGTCTCTCTCTCTCTCTCTCTGTCTTTCTCTCCCTCTCTGTCTCTCTGTCTCTCTCTGTCTCTCTGTCTCTCTCTCTGTCTCTGTGTGTGTGTGTCTCCTGAGATAAGGTATAACTGTATATCCAGGATAACCCTGAAGACACTGTATAGTCTAAGCTGGCCTCAAAGGAGTAGCAGTCCTCCTGTCTGGAGTCCTGGGTCATGTGGAGGCTATGTCCTCTATCCTTGAGTTTCAGGATAGTGGTCTTTGATGCTTCAGCTAGTCAACTGTAAAGTTAGATGGAGATACAGCTCAGTAGTGAAAAGCTTACTCGGTGTGTGCAGGGTGTAGGTCAAGCCCCCAGTACTGCAAGACATAGATGGATAGATAGATAGATAGATAGATAGATAGATAGATAGATAGTAGATAGATAGATAGATAGATAGGTAGATGATAAATAGATAGATGATAGATAGATAGATGATAGATAGATAGATAGATAGATAGAGATAGATGATAGATAGATGATAGATAGATAGATAGATAGATAGATGATAGATAGATAGAATCTCCAGCTCCATTAGATGTGAATACATAAATAAATTGAAGCTACATAAAAGATTTTGAAAGTAAAAAAAAAAAAGATTTTGAAAGTAATTTAGTAGTTATTGTGGATGTGATTTTATTCTGAATTACTGTTTTGACAACATTGTATTAGTTTTTGGAGATATGGTCTCATGTAACCCCAGCTAGCTTTGAACTTACCATGTGGCTAGGGAACTTTATTTCTATCTCCCTTCCCTATCCACTCCTCCTCCATTTCTCTTCAGAAAAGGACAGGCCTCCCGTGGATGTCAACCAAACATGGCAGATGAAGTTTCAGTAAGACTAGGTGCCTCCTCTCCTGTTCAGGCTGGATGAAGCAATCCAGAGGAAAGGTTCATAAAGGCAGGGAAAAGAGTCAGCGACAGCCCCACCCTCCATTAGGAGTCCCACAGGAAGACCAAGCTGCACAACTCTAACATATGTGTAGAAGGCCTAGGACCTTGAATTTATAATCCTCCTGCCTCCACCTCCCCATTGCCAGGATTATTCACGGGTGCCCCTGTACTCAGCTTTGTGGGCTGCCAGAGAGAAAATCTAGGATTTCATGCCTGGAAGGCAAGTCCAACTGAGCTACATTTTCCACCCAGGAATTTTGTAATTGACTCATACATCATTGACAAACATTGGTGTTTCAACTTTGTATTCTTTAACATGACTTATTTGATCCATTCCCCCTTTCTTTGAAGTTTTTTTTTTCTCTTTTTAAAGTTTTGTTTCCCCGGGTGGTGGTGGCGCACGCCTTTAATCCCAGCACTTGGGAGGCAGAGGCAGGTGGATTTCTGAGTTCGAGGCCAGCCTGGTCCACAGAGTGAGTTCCAGGACAGCCAGGGCTACACAGAGAAACCATGTCTCAAACAAAACAAAAAAAAAATAAAGTTTTGTTTCAATTATTTATTTTGATTGTGTCTATGTGTCACAGTGCACGGAAGTCAGAGGAAAACTCCACTGTGGGTTCCAGAGATTAAACTTAGGTCACCAGGCTTGGGGCAGGCACCATTGCCTTCTGGCCGCTAGTTCTCTTTATGAAGTCGTTTGGCCTACAAATAAAAACATTTTTATAGTCTCGTTTTTGATTTGGAGATCCTTCATTCATTGCCCCTGTATCCTTGGCTGAGCCTTCTGAGCCGCGTATCAAAGAGAGCAGAGTAGTAACAACTGCGTCTTTGTCTTGTTGCAGACCTTAAAGTACTTTCAGAATTTTGCCATTCACAAAGTTGTAGGCTGTGGCTTGATTTCACGTAACGATTATTGTGTACAGATGTAACCTTGTTCTCTATTGAGAAAAAATTTTTAAGATGGGGTATTGAAGTTTGTAAATGCCTTAAAATCTGTTTTTATCTTCATGTACCTTCTTACTGTTTACCGTGTAGATCTGGTGTCTTATACTTGGGAAATTTCATTCGGTGAATGTTACACCCCTGTTATGAATCACATGATCATAGCTAATATTTTTTTTAAGACAGTGCCTCATGTAGCCCAGGCTGCCATCAAACTTGTCATTTAGACAAAGATGATACAGAACTACAGATCCTTCTGCATCTACTTCCCAAGTACTGAGATTATAGGTGTGTTCCACTGTGTCCTGTGTGTGTTGTGTCTTAGTGTTCTAGTGCTGTGAAGAGACACCATGACCACAGCAACTCTTAAAAAGAACAACATTTAACTGAGACTGGCTTACAGTTTCAGGGGGTTAGTCTATTATTATCATGGCAGGAAGCATGGCAGCATGCAGACAGACATGGTGCTGGAGAAGGAGCTGAGAGTTCTACACCTGGATCAGCAGACAACCGGGAGAGAGAGTGACACTGGGCCTGATTTGAGCATTTGAAACCTCAAAGCGCATCCCCCAGTGACACATTCCTCCAGCAAGGCCACACCTACTGCAACAAGGATACACCTTCTAATGGTCCCTCTCTCTATGAACCTATAGTCACCATTTTCATTCAAACCACCCCACATAGTTTGTAATGTTTATGTGCTGTTCTCTCTCCCTCTCCCTCTCCCTCTCCCTCTCCCTCTCCCTCTCCCTCTCCCTCTCCCTCTCCCTCTCTTTCTTTCTTTCTTTCTCTCTCTCTCTGTCTCTCTCTCTGTCTCTCTCTCTCTCTGTCTCTCTCTCTCTCTCTGTCTCTCTCTGTCTCTCTCTCTCTGTTTCTTTTTTTCATTTATTTGTTTTGTTTGGTTTGGTTTTTTTGAGACAGGGTTTCTCTGTATAGCCCTGGCTGTCCTGGAACTTATTCTGTAGACCAGGCTGGCCTTGAACTCAGAAATCTGCCTGCCTCTGCCTCCCAAGTGCTGGGATTAAAGGTGTGCACCACCACTGCCCAGTGCTGTGTGTGTTTCTGAGGCAGGGTTTCTCTGTGTAGCCTTGGCTGTCTTGGAACTCACTCCATAGACCAGGCTGTCCACACACTCAGAGATCTCCTTACGTCTGCTTCCTGATTGCTGGCAAAGGTGTGTGCCAACCACCCAGCTTGTACCCAGCTTGTTGAGCATTTTTAGTGACAACTTTTCTCCACTTATTTATTGGTTGGGGAGATGCTATGTGTGCCATGGTGAACATTTTGAGGTCAGAAGACACACTGTAGGAGTTGGTTCTCTCTACCACATGTGCCCTGGGTCATCAACTCAGGTTATCAGATTTGGTGACAAACGCCTTTCTCCACTAAGCCATCTCGACAGCCTCTGTTGAGAGTTTTTTTCATGTATGTTCATCCATTGACTCTGTGCTTCAACTACAGAAAGTTGTACCCATGACTAATTTTGTTTATTGTTTTTTTTGTTTTGGGGGGGGTTGTTTTTTGTTTTTTGGTTTTCTTTTTAGATAAGGTCTTACTCTGAAGCATAGCCTAGTCTTAACCTCACCTGTGTTCCTGTGTTGCCCAGCTAGACCTTGAACCTGCAGACTCTTGCCTCAGCCTGGAGAGGGCTGGGATTACAGGCATGTGCCGCCCCCCACCCAGCATCCCACAGTATGGAACCCCACCAATGCCCCAAGGTCATTGGCTCTATATATGTCTCTTCCTCTCTCTCCAGGATCTTGGTGGTAGCCCAGGTTGGCCTGAAACATGTGATGAAGCTCCCTGAATGCCAGCATTGCACACTAGGCCCCCCACTCTGGCCTGGAGACAGGATTTCCTCTTTGTCCAAGACTGGCCGTGATCCCAGCCTGCTTGAAACAGGTGCACGTCACAGCATTCGACTAAGTCTCTCTTAACAACCAGCAGCTGCCTGGGCATCTCTGCCTCCAGTGCGTCCTACTCTATGATCACAGTGCATTTACTTTGATGTGCAGGAGAAGCATGGGGCTCTCCACTTTAGAACTGGTGCTTTGTTTTCTTTTTAAGAACTGTTGTGCAATTCAGGCACCATTGTGGATCCTGTATTTCTCTCTTTCTTTCTTTGTCTTTTGAAATTGTTTCATGTAGCCCAGGCTAGTCTTAAGCTTACTCTATGTAGTTTTCAAGGCATCATAATGCTGGCCATAAGGTTCTAGCTGGGACACTGGCAGAGCTTCTACTTGGATTTCTCTTATAAAGGCCTTTGGGCTAACCTCTTGATGTTTATAGAAGTTTCTAACAAAGAATTTTGTCAGTTTCAATGTCTGTGAAAGAATTGTTCAGATCTACTAAGGATCCTTTGAGTTTCTTGAACCTCTTTGTATGTGTATCTCTCCTGTGATGCTAAAATTCTCTCGTTGAAACTATATTTTTATGTGTTTTCTCTTCGGGAACATACTGCTAGTGTCTGCTTCCTTAATGTTCATCATTGTATATCAAAAGGTCGACTTTATCATTTCCTATTTCCTAATCTGCCTGAGTTATTTAAAAATGAAGCCATTGTGCTTTGGATTTTCTCTCCGCCTTCTCAGCCATAGATTATTTGGTTTCTACTCTTTTTTCTTCTTTAAGTTACTTTGGGGGTTGTTTTTCCTTTTTTACATTTTTTTTTCTTTTGAGACAGGGTCACTATGTACTCTTAATTGGCCTAGAAGTAGCTACATATGCCAGGGTGGGCTTGAACTCAAAGAGATCTACCTGCCTATTCCTCCCATTTGCTGGAAATAAACTTCCTCTGTCACCATGCCTGGCCTTGTTTCGCACCCCCCCCCCCCCCCTTTTTTTTAAGTTAAGCTCTTTCCATGCAAAGTTTCTGACTGACTCTTGCCACTTTCTCTGTATCCCATATGTCCCAATGGGGTTCTCTCTCTAATTTGATTATATTTTTCTCTTTTATTATCTATTATCTTAACTATCTCCAGATCTTTATTTTGGGTTATTTGTCACGCAGTATAATGCCATTTGAGGGTGAAATTCCAGCCGATGAACAATGTGAGTGTAAATGCCATCTGGTATAAGTTTCTGATTCACTTGTGATAGTGTGGTCCTTAGAGTGGACGCCGTCCGTCACTGTTCATCCCTGGGCCTCACTTGGCACATTAGCATAGCTGATCTGTTATTTCCCATTTGCAGGACACTGCATGACCAAACCAGAGGTCATCTTTGAGTAGGAGCTTCGATCAGGCCATGGACCACAACAGAAGCCTCAGTTCACTGCAGGACAGGTCAGTGAGTGGGGATAGGGCAAGGGCTCTCCACACAGAGAGCTCATGATATGCTGGTTGTGTTGAGCTCCTTTTATACCCAAACTCTTCCTGCAGATAACTAGTCCTGTGCTGAAGACGTGTTTTATGCAGTTTCTGAAAGGCTTCTCCGTGTTAACATATCCCCAAGTTTCTGCTATTGAATTATATTTTCTTAGATTTATCAAAATTTCAATCCTATGTACTACTTAGATCCTATGGTTCTCAACCTATGGATCATGACCCCTTTGGGAGGTCAAATGACCCTTCACAGGGGTCACCTGACACCACTGAAAACATCCGTATTTGTATTATGATCCATTACAGTACCAAAATTACAGTTATGATGTAGCAATGAGAATAAGTTGTGGTTGGGGTCACAACAACATGAGGAACGGTGTTAAAGGCCACAGCATCAGGAAGGCTGAGAACCACTGGTATAAAAACCAGTTGTTTTTCTTGGTTAGTCAGTGTACCTAAATTCTCACTCTTCCTTCTTTTTTAAATGAGGCATTTGCTGACATGTTCTTTCAACACTTGATCTTGATCCCTGGCTGATTCTGTGTAACTGTGTTGATAATACCAACAGTAATCACCCAGACGGCTCTTAACATTGTCTTGCATTCAGTGAACGTAAAGTGAATCAAAGACATAAGCATTATGGTGACATAGAGCTTAGAGAGTGCTTCAGGGAGTGGAAAAAAAGTAGGTCTGAGTTTTTATTTTGTGACAAGTAAACCGAATCTGCAATTAGGGAATTGTTTATTCATTTTAGTTTAAATTTGACATAACTCTTTTCCAAATTTGGCATATTGTACTTGACTCAGGGGTGGTGATTTTTTTTTTAATATTTTCCTTGTTCATAAAGTGATGCCAGGATTGAGGCCAGCCATGAAAATCAAGAGAAAGATTTGTGGCAACTCGGAACCAACAAAGCAGTACTTACATCAAATGAAGACATGGCTGGTACAGGAGAGACAGTTACCTTGAGCTCTCAGACGCTTTGCAGAGCTGACACAGACAGTGGGCATAAACTGTAAACTTGAAGCATGAAAACGAAGAGAAGGTAGTTTGGGCGGGCAGAAATGACATCCGAGACCATGTCTGTCTATTTTCAGAGAGGTATCACCCAACCTGGCACCTTTATGGTTGAGGAAATCCTCTGGTATCCTGACCTTCTTAGTCCCCATAATGGGACCCCAGATGTGTGGTGTTCTGTTCAATCTATCTGATGAAGGATATTCATCAAAATCAACATAATCTTCCTGACACAACAAGAGAGTTCATACTCCAGAGGCATCCAGTAGATTCAGTCAATGCTGGAAGTCCTTTTATTAGGAAGCACTTAAAGCCCAAAACATGAAAAATGTAAAGAGCAAATCACAAAACTTAATGTGTGGGATAATGTTTCATTATAAGATGAATGGTAAGTACACACATACGAGAGATAAGTGTAAATATAGTTATTCTGAAAAATCTCTCAATTAGTAATTATGCTTCAGAAATCATTAGGATATATGTGTTAGGAAGTGGCCCAGTAAGGATAATGAGTATAAATGTCTCGAGTTAGAACTAAAGGTTCAGCCAGCCGGTGGTTGCACACACCTTTAATCCCAGAATTTGGGAGACAGAGGCAGGCTAAATGTTTCCTATTGTAAGTCAGCCCACATTCACCATCAGAAATCTTACTATGGGAAGTATATGAATTTGCATGTATTCAATTCGAAGTTAGCTTTCATCTAAGAACACACGCAGAAAGAAACCTGTGAATGTAAAGGAAGCAAGGAAACTGTTAACTTCATGTCATACCTCACTGTACATCAGAGAATCCACACTGCTTGGAATTCTTAGTAGCATGAAGAATGCAGGAACCTTTTCTCATGCAAGTCACAGCTCTGTACATTGGATTGTCATACAGCTCGTAAACCATGTGAATGTCAAGCTTTCTTGAGGAAGTCAGACTTTGAGATGAGAGGCCTTATGAATGTGGACACCTAGGAACGCCTTCCTCTACAAGTCATGTATGTGCACACCACAGACTCCACGTAGGCGAGGAGCTCTATGAATGTCATGACTGTCGGAAAGCATTCTACCGTAAGCCAGACCTCATTGCGCATCAGATAATTCATAAGGTGAGGGAACCCTCTTGGATGCAAGGATGCAGGAAATATCTCTCTCTCAGGTCAAAACTATGTCAGATAATATGTAAAGGGGAGGAGCTCTGTGACTGAGGAATACAGAAAGCTTTCTGCCCAGTCAAAGCTCAGTGTACACCAGAGAGCACACACATGCCCTTTGGATGTAAAGACTACAGAAAAGCTTTCTATGCAAGCCACACCTTACCTGACATTAGAGAGCCCTCCCAGGTTATAAGCCTTATGAATATGAGGATTTAGGACATGACTCGATGTGCACCAGAGAGCTCATTCTGGTTAGAAACCGTCTGAAGACAGAATGCAGGAAGGCATTCAAGTGGATTAAACGACACGTGCAGGGGGAAGCACTGTGCAAATAGAGGATACAGGAGAGCTTTGACCCCAAATTGAAATTACCTGCACCAGAGAATCCATGGAGTTGAGAAATGATATGACTGTAGTGTACAGGAAAGCCTTCTACTCCAAGTCAAAGCTGTGTCAGCCAATGAGCCGATGTGTTAGAAAGCACATAGTTTTTTTGTTTTTGTTTTGTTTTGTTTTTTGTTTTTTGTTTTTTGTTTTTTGTTTTTTGTTTTTTGTTTTTAGAGACAGGGTTTCCCTGTATAGCCTGGGCTGTCCTGGAACTCACTCTGTAGACCAGGCTGGCCTCGAACTCAGAAATCCACCTGCCTCTGCCTCCCAAGTGCTGAGATTAAAAGGTACATAGTTATAAAGAGTGCACAAAAGAGGTTAACTTTAAGGGAGATCTCACTGTGCTACTAGAGACAATAGGAGAAGGCTGTGCATGTACACAGCTCAGGAAGTCATTCTACATGAAGTTAGAATTGCATTGATACCAGAGAGCTCACACAGGGGTGGTGTCTCTAATCTTGACTTCAGATTACTCATAGGCGAGAATCCCAGTAAGTGTAAAAATTCAGGGAAGAATTTATTTCATATGAGGAAGTGATATAGAGATTATTTTGTTTTTATTTTATGTATATGGGTGTTTTGCCTGCATGTACACATGTGCATGAGGCCTGATTCCTGGACTGGAGTTAACAGTGGTTATAAGGCAAACCCACTGTGGATGCCTGAAACTGAAGGAGAGTCCTCCAAAGAGCAGCCTGTGCTCTTAACCATGACACCATCTATATGGTAAACTGACTGGCATTGTCTGTGTTTGTAGAGTTTCAAAATGGGAAACTTTAAAAGCCAGAAAGAAAAATCTGGAACAGTGCACTTCAAGTTCTCAAAGACCATGAGCACCAACCTAACACCAACCTAGCACCAACGTAGACTACTGTCTCCAGAAAACCCGTGTACCATAGTTGAAGGAAAAGAAAAACACCATGATACAAGCAGTCTAACAATTCATGGCTATAAAATATGGCCCTACAGAGAAGACCAAAAGCAAGACTGCACTGAGGAAAGAAATAAGTGTGGCCAGGGAAGATAGAAAAAAAGAATTGAAGCTACAATTACTGAACCATAAAATCTACTAAGAACACAACAGAAACAAACAATCAAAAATAAAAACTCAGCAAAATGCTAGTAACCAATATACCTGAGAATAATAACATTAAATATGAATGGCCTCAACTCCCTAATCAAAACACACAGGTTACATGAGTAGACTAAGAAACTCCATCTGTTGTCTACAACAAACTCATCTTACCTCCAAAGACAGTATCGGTAAAAGTATTCCAAGCAAATGTGATCAAGAGGCAAGCAAATGTTACCCTTCTAATATCTGGCAAATAGACTTCAAACTAAAACAAAGCAGAAGATATAAAGTACTCTTCATTTTTTCCACTGGAACAATTAACTAAGAAGACATCATAATCTTGACCATGAATGCACATGCCCTTTCATAAAATGCATACCTCTGTCCTTAAAGACAAAGGTTAATGGCACTCAAAACAGGACTTTCTCCAGGGGACAGGACATCTATACAAAAAATAAACAGAAACAGCAGCATTAAATGACTGTGTCCATGAAATAGACCTAACACTTACTCCACAGCCCATGGAGGCATCTCTAAAATAGGCCACAAGTTAAACTGGCCCATAACAAACAAGGAACTAGAAGCAATGATGAAGCCTTCAACAAAAGAAGCCCAGGCCCAGATGGGTTCACCCCAGAATCCTACCAGACTTCCAAGTAGATCCACAGCCAGCCCTTAAATTCCTTTTAGAGAGAGAGAGAGAGAGAGAGAGAGAGAGAGAGAGAGAGAGAGAGAGAGAGAGAGAGAGAGAGAGAGGAAACAGGAGTATTACCAAATACTTTCTATAACGCCAGTATTACCCTAATACCTACATCAGATAAAGACAACTTCCAAGCACTCACTATACAGTAATTGGACAATTTCCAGCCACATTATATGATGTCAAAACAGCTGTTTAATTGGCAAGAGAGCATGAGAGCTCTGAGAAGCACCTTGTTTCAGTTTCACTTAAGAGAAAACCAACAAGAACCGCTGTTACATACAGCTTCTGCCATCCCGGCTGTGAACCTCTTCAATCTTTTTCGTCTCTCCCTTTTCAGTGGTAAAACTCCTCCAAGTTTCAAATCTTGGAACATGAGTAGAGTATGCAAGATAAAGTGGAATCTAGGAGAAGGGGAAAGTGTGTTGGAAACTAAGAGAAGGAGGGTGGTGTGTCCCACAGTAGGAGATGGGAAAGTGGGTTGGAATGTAGAAGATGCGTGGAAGTGTTTGGAGATGAAAGACGTGAAGTTCATTACTTACTGCATCCTCTTCAGTCAGGCCCACAACAAGAGGGTTCTGGTGTTTATTTATGTTGAGGTTGAGTCTTCTGAGAGGCCAATGTCAGTGTGGCAATGAGA